ACCGTTGCAATTCGTAGCTATTTTCGCAAAATTTTATTCGGCTGCTGGATGAAAGATAGAATTAACAAATAGAATTATATTCGAGAAATAATTCGTTCGAATAAAGAATTATACTAATATAAATAGATAGAATAATTCATGATTAATAATGAACTACCCGACTAGAATAGACCGATATAGACCGTTGCAATTCGTAGCTATTTTCGCAAAATTTTATTCGGCTGCTGGATGAAAGATAGAATTAACAAATAGAATTATATTCGAGAAATAATTCGTTCGAATAAAGAATTATACTAATATAAATAGATAGAATAATTCATGATTAATAATGAACTACCCGACTAGAATAGACCGATATAGACCGTTGCAATTCGTAGCTATTTTCGCAAAATTTTATTCGGCTGCTGGATGAAAGATAGAATTAACAAATAGAATTATATTCGAGAAATAATTCGTTCGAATAAAGAATTATACTAATAAATAGGTAGAATAATTCACGATCAATAATGAACTATTCGAGTAAAATGTCCGACTAAAATAGACCGGTATAGACGGTTACAATTCAAAGCTATTTTCTTTCTATCGACGTGGACACGATGATGTTTTCGTACAATTTTATTCAGCTGTCGGATGAAAGACAGAATTAACGAATAAAATCACATTCGAGAAATAATTCGTTCGAATAAAGAATTATACTAATAAATATATAGAACAATTCATGATGAATAACGAATTCTTCGAATAAAACGTCCGACTACAATAGAGATGCGCGTACAATATTTATTATACGAATTAGTAAAGACTTAATTCATTCTCCGTCCACCGTAAGAGGAATCTCGTTTCGGGCATGAGACGGGTAAGAGGCATGTCTGAAGCCCTGCTTAACTTTTGGGATATCTATTACCTTAATTAAATTCCCGTTCAATTACTTTAATTGTTTGCAGCACACAGCAACGTTAACCAGTCTCGACGAAATGTTCAGCACCCATACAAATGATCCAGACCTAAAAGGAACATCGTCGAAACTTTCGTTACATTCTCAGACAAAGTCAAACAAAGCTGTGCGACTTTTTTGTCGCTCCAACCGATCGCAGTGTAAGCAAAAATCTTTGCACGCATTGTCTGGCTCTTCAATCATCTCGGAGAAAGATTCGCCCCTATGGTTCAATTTTAGAGAAGTTATTCCATCCTAAAATATGTCCCTATATATTTGTCCTCGACCGTACCTAAACCTTCGCCTAAACCGGAGTGAGTAGGCGCTATCAAGAGGATTCCGGGTCCTCAAGGTAACCAGATTCGACTTTGCAACCATAAAAGTCTCTCCCCTTGCCGAAATGATCGCGCTTTGGACTCTCGTTAAATTACGAGAGAGAGAGAGAGAGAGAGAGAGAGAGAGAGAGAGATAAAGAGAGAGAGATAAAGAGAGAGAGATAAAGAGAGACAGAGAGAGAGATAAAGAGAGAGAGAGAGAGAGAGATAAAGAGAGAGAGAGAGAGAGAGATAAAGAGAGAGATAAAGAGAGAGAGAGAGAGAGAGAGAGAGAAAGACAGGGGTAGGAGTGAACCAAAGGATCCATCACGGGAGGAGACCCTCTCCGGAGGTTGGCGAACGCTTGCGTTGCTGAATTCGCGATCGTCCGGCCCTGGGAAAGCCGATCTTCCCTGGAGTCTTTCGGTGGGATGGAACGTAAGGAAAATAAAGCGGCCGTGGAAACCGTTTCTCCGGTAAATGAGATTCTGATACGGCGATCGGATCGCGCTGCGGCTTGGCGTTGCGGGGCTGTGATAAAACGGCCGGGAACGGGGGGAGAGCGGGGGCTTGATTTATCGGAAATTAATATGCTACGCTACCGACGCCGGCGAAAACACCTCGCCGTGCTGGTTCGAAAGACTGCCGAGGGGGAGGGGGGTGGTGTGGGCGGCAGTGGCGGAACGAGAATTTAAAATAGATTTGCTCTCGGGCCTGGAGCGTCCTC